ATATACGTATATGAAGTATAATATTATATACAAACAATTTAATTATAATAATTTATAATTATTACACTTTCCTATTATATTAAATTATTACATTCTGTCGCGGCGTTCGATCTGCCGTTTCGTAGGGCACATATTATAGTGTCATTATATGGTATAATAATAGTAATACTAATAATATAAAGATATAACCTACTCACGAAATCGCTATACATATATACACACATATATATATATATATAGGTAATTGCAGGTATTAGATGCGATACGCCTACGCACGCGACAAATTTATTTTATATAGGTACTATGCGCAGACGAGGTAATGAAACTTTATCACAAAAAAATTATCATATTTGTACACTCACACACAAATACATGTCACATCGGCACAACCGCTATAAGACGACGTTTTTTTTTTTGTTTTTTCTTTATTTTGTTTTTTTGAATTTCACATATTTTTTCGATTAATCATAATCGATATTATATTATACATATTATTAAACTAAGTTATGTCTGTACAAAATATAATTAACGTACCTACCTATTTATAATTTTAATACAGGTGCGGAAAAAATCCTACATGTTCAATATTTTATAATCTATAATATAATATAATTTAATAATAATAATGATAATAATAATAATAATAATAATAATAATAATAATATTGTATACACTCGAATCATAACCGCTAAAATATATAACACATAAATATCGTGAACGCGATATAATTTTTTTCGGATTTTACTCGCTTTCCCGTACAATTAAAATAATAAAATCATGTAATTAAAAAACCATAATAATATAAATAATAATAATAATAATGATAATAATTTACACAATTTTCTGTACACGGTAATTAAAGAAAAAAAAATTGGTTCATACACATAAGGAGGAGGGGGTTTATTTTTGACTATTTCCATGGCTACTAACGCTGCACCGTATTATAATATATAGTGTGATACAGGTACTGTTGGTAGTCGTGGGGGTACTGGCCTGTTTGCCGGTCGTCGTGCGGACGTGGCGTGGAGGAATAGTGAGTGATGTCGATCGGCTGAGCAGCGTGGTATACCGATGACCGCGGTAGCTGCGCATCAGTGGCATCCTGCACCGCCGATGACCGCGGTAGCTGCGCATCAGTGGCAACGGCGATGACTCGAACACGATGACGTCGCGCAAAGCTCTTTTAGGTAGATACAACACGTAGTGCACAGGGTGAGCGATACCGATAGTGATGCAGGCGGCTTACTGCATCGCCGACGCGGCTGTCGCTTAATCCTCGTCGTGACTGTCGCCGCCGAACGATGGCGAGTTGGCTGGTGAGTATATCAGGTCCGGCGATATGGACCTGTCTGCCGGATACCCAAAACTGGTTCCGGCCACGTCCGACCCAGAACCGGAAGGACCGGCCCCCTCGCCCCTGTACCACAGCTGCCGCATATCGTTCCGCCGCTGCCGCATCAGCATCTTGTACTCGGATATCCGCATCTTTTTGCCATCGATGATGCACGTCCGCTTCGGTCTGGGCCGATACCGATAGTCCGGGTGCTTTTCCATGTGCAATTTGGACAGTCTGGATTGTTCCTCGTAGTACGGTTGCTTGTCCGAGTTTGACATTGCCTTCCATCTGCCACCTGCAGCRAACGGCAAAAAACACGCGATTATTATCATCAAATATATGCAGGTAGAAGAGTAAAAAAATCGAATAATTTTGTACMGTTGTGGCAAAATCGACAAAAAKATGTAAATAGTCTATTTTGGTACTCTACACATTATTTTGCCACAATGGTACCGAATTCTCTTATCGAGAAGAGATCATCTACGCACCTAAGATTTTCGAAATGTTTGAATTATGCATGTCGGGACAGGCTTTCAAAATCTTTCGCCTCTCGTCCTTGGCCCAAACCATGAACGCGTTCATAGGTCTCTTGATGTGCTCGCCATCTTTCTTCTGTTGTCGTATCATGCGACCTAAGGTTTCCCAAAACAAATTATTTATTATACAAAATTACAAACCATCAACTGTCATATTGCAACGTCATTGTGCAGTGCAGCATAGGTATATATTATATTACAATCCAGTAAAACTTCCATTTAACTACATTTTAACCAAATCTATTTAATTCTATATATATTTTAACGATATCTCTAAAATATGAATTTTGTGGTTGCCCACGAGTCTTTGTAAAGTTTGGAAGTTTCGCTGTTTAAAAGGCCGTTGTAATCTATAGCTGTAGAAGCGTCTATRTGATTCTACTGTRCACTCACCTCTATCACTTGTGTCATCGGCGATTTTGAAATTTGGATCGCTGGGTCCCCAAGCTGAGGTAACAAAAAAAATTAAATACGTGTTAAATATTGCACTGTTATACATAATTTTATCGTTGATGGTACAATACAAGTCATTTATATAAGCTATAAAGTTATACTTACATAAATCCATGTTTTCGGAATGTTCGTCCCTGAGGAGCTGAGGCGGACACAGTTGGAATCCCGAGTACGGCGACATCTTGTCCTTGCCGGGCGATAGGTTTAGTTTGCCACCTGAGATTTAAAAAAAAAAAATCACTATTTGACAACAATATATTATAATAATATCAATTTGGCTACGTGAGTAATTATATCTGGTGGTAGTAATAATAATAATAATAATATTATCGTTGTTTTRTGTTACAGTATATTTGTTTTAACTTTTAATTGAGTGCCAACTTTAGTCTCTAATTTATTCGTCTACATTATTTTTTACTTATGGTTCTTATATATACCTGTCTATAAATTCAATTAGATCGCGATCGATGAACGGTTCATATGATAAGGTGTACCGGTTCAAAGTACATTCTAAATAACACATTATTTTTATTCTGCCGATGCGATTATATTATTACTATTATTATGTTTTTACGAACGCGTATTTCATTACCACGGTGATGTTACCTGCAGGATTGAACTATCTCTATCTCTATAATATGCAAATATTGCGAATGCGTGCCCGTTWATATAAATATTGTATTGTTTAGTCCGATCGCAATAGAAAATTATGAACTGGAAATATAATACTGCACATAATATATGTAATAAAATACACCTTTTTTTTTTATTTATTCGTGTTTACTGTTTATTTTTTACATTTTGTCTTTCGCGCAATTAAATCCACGTATTATGATTAAATTACAAAATATTWTGCTATATGATATTTTAACAGTTCGCCATTTATCGATTGACCTCGGACGTGTACTGCCGATAACGTCTGTTTAAGCGACCAAACGCCGACGATTAACCCAAAGGCGGCGCCAAAAGTCGTCGGCGACACCTTTATTATTCATTCCGTTGTGCGTCTAACGATCCACCGAAACAATTAATAGAAATGCGTGAAAAACGTTTATAAGCACTTGAACTGGCATTAAGGTGGCGAGGACGCGCGTTAATCACTTTTTACGTTATTATTGTTTAGAGAGATGTTTACGAAATACCGGTCGACGGCGGAAACAACCTTCGCGGGCTATAAAATATTATTATAATAATGTACGCATATATATATAATATCGTGTCTAATCTAACGAAACGAATACAATTATTATAAATTATTATATTATTCTCGTTTTCAAATTATCAAACAACAGCAGGAGGTGAGATAACTCGAGAGAATAATTATTTGTTCCGAACCGTGTGCGAGTATATATAGGTATGTCGATAATGCGAATAATAAGTCATTAACGGTTCACCCGACATCGAATAAACCGATTTCCAAGGCTCGAACGAAAATAATTTATGCGGTCTGAATTTTCGCGAACGCAATTTTCGTCGGCTCTTACGATTTATATCGCGTACGTCGGTTCTGAAAAGAAATATGTTTATTTTAACGAATCGATATAATATTGTAATAACATAATATTATATTCACCGTAGTATATACTATTACATTTTAATAATTATGACCGGACGTAGTGATTTTTTTCTGACGTTTTAATAATGTGTGTTTGCCGACAGTTCAACAGGCTGGCGGACATCGTAAATTCATAATAATAATATAGAATTCAATTGATTGGAATTTGAATTATTAGTTATTAAAAAATCTAAATGACTGAATGACCGATTGGCCGAAACGATGGTAAGATCGGTTAAACCCATACTATAGTACGTAGGGTACTAGATATAGAMGWATATACTAGATTTTATATCTATTATTGTTTATAATGTTTATCAGGGTAGTAGCAGTCTGTGGTTCAAACGTTTGGATAAGTTTTTGTACTGAATTCAGTGGCATTCGATAAAAACTGCACTTACCGGTGGACGAGTGATGTGGCGGAGGAGGCGGTGGTATGCCGGCGTACGGCATGAATCCCCTGGGCACCGGTATGGGTGGTGGCAGGAGTTTCGGAGTGGCCGCGGCCGGTGGGCTGACCAGTCCCTGACCGGAACCGGACCGCCTGTTGGCGGTGCCCGGCGTGGTGGCCGGCGGCGAAGACGAAGACGAGTTCCATCCGGCGCCGCCCGAACTCCTTGGCGCAAACATGTTGTTGGCCTGTTGTAGTTGGTGTTGCAACTGCTGTTGATGCTGTTGCTGCTGTTGGAGATGATGGTGTTGCTGCTGTTGCTGTTGCTGATGCTGCTGCTGCTGTTGGAGTTGTTGGTGGTGGTGTTGCGGTGTCGTCGACGACGGAGGATGTGGTTGTGGCGTGGGCGACTTTCGCTTGGTCAGGTTTAGCGGTGCGTCCGGGTCGGTGGCCGTCGTTGGGTGTTGCAGCTGTTGTTGCTGCTGTGCCTGAGCAGGCGGCGGCGTCTGTTGCTGCTCATGTTGCAGTTGCATCGAACACTGACTGGCCGACGACGTGGACGGCGGTCGGCCGTTGTTGGACCATGCGGCTGTCGGCATGACCTAATGTGAAAAGCAAACRGGAAAATAGTATAATATGTCAATGATTTAGCGTTATATTGATATAAARTCTACAAGTCCTCGCTATTTAGGTTTAATCCTAACCTACGTCTAGCCTGGCCCACTACATAATAAGCGAACGAATTCTTCTCAACTCGAAACGAAAAACTCCTTTACAAAACTCTATATTGATGTMTATTTGGGCAAACGRTATTCAAYAATGGGCGTAGCCAAAATAATCAAATATATATAAAATTGAAACTTTTCAAATCATAACTTTTCGTAAAAATATTACAAATGCTCCAGTCAGTATCCAAATCACACTGTTCWTACCGATTTGAAAATAAACAGTATAGAAGAAACTGCAAAGGAATTATACAAGCGTTTTTGCTTCCAACTAATATACCATCCAAATCCTGGATAATCGGCGATAAATTTCGAAACCATTATCCCCCTCGCAGGTTAAAGGGAGCATGTGGAGTTATGTTTAAAATGCATATTTATYACTATTAAAATTAATCAAATTCACAAATAAAGTGTTATCGTTGGATCTTGTGTCTCATGTCTTAAATATATAAATCCGAACACACAGGCTTATTGTAAAAATTAGAAAACATATATAAAAATATAAAATACTAAATATGTATATTGTAGGTATTGTGGAAAAACTTAAACATGCCACAGAAGAGTTGGCCAAAAAGACGTACCTATC